AGCAGTTCGGGAAACGAAAAGAAATTGACTGAATGCACCCCATGGCACAGTATTGTAGACACAACTTCTGGCACCATTAGATGGTTCCAATATGTGTCAAAATAATAGTTTAAGCTTTACACCATAGCAAAGCCCAATTAATATGACATGATCCGGATGCAACGTAACAGTCAACTATAATGTTAAACAGTTTCATCAACAGCAACCATCGAGATTATATCCAAGACACTAAATAAGTGTATGTTGTTGAGTATGTTCACAATATTATTGTTCACAATAAAGAAAACAAATGTATGGATATTGTTAATGAATACTTACCTCAGTGTTTGGTCAATATTCAGTTTAGATGTCCCGCAGATACAATTATGGACCTTGGCTGCGTCTCGGTCAAGTATTTCATTTTTTGGTCTTCAAAACTAAATATTGACCTGGGAGTATAATTTCCAGTTATGCCCAAAGGTCAACAACAGTCCAACATGAGAAAACAGTGCCGTATAATATTGGAAATCAATTCTTTCTGTTAGCAACAATATTCCGGTCACGGTGGAAAACAGAAATAGTGATTAATTCAAATTTATAAAAGAAACGTCATAGAAAACTGTTAATAAAAGTAACTTTTTATACACGCCTAAAGTTTGAATTTGGGTACTAAGAGATTTGAATGAAAATAATGAAATTTTCACAAATAGCAACTTTGAGATAATCGACTTGAAGTGACTGATTTATTATTAAACATACAATTATATGAAATCTTGGACGTGCCATGAAATCGCTCATGTAAATGTAAATCGATACTTTCAAGACAGTTTTGTATGAAGGCATACTCTTTTGTAACAAAGTCCTATGTTGAGACAAGGCGGGCCAAGTGTTTACAAATGCGTGGGTTAAGAAATGACTGAAACACTGAAAATAATTCTACATATATGGTATAGATGATTAATGAAGGAGATCAATAATACACAGCAACTTCAGCAATATATTGAATACTAAACTCAATGACTTAAAATTAAATTTACAACACCACACGCAAACAAATACGGTAGTATTAGTACATTCACAGTGGAGTGAAAATGTTTGTGTGCTGTCAACAACGTAGTGACACGTTAATTGAAAATACGTGTCCGATCATCTGTCAAGTCGGTGGACAATGTTACATTTTTAATTGTTAGCTGTGAAATTGGTTACTTTCAATACAATTTTAGACGATTAGCTTCGATCGTTGTCACGGCAACTATCAAAACCTTCTTGTGACATGCGGGATATTGACAACTCAGTGATTATGAGTTAGGTTTACCATCCATATTTAATTGAATATGAATTGTGTTTGTTCCCGGTAATTTGAATGAAATCAATAAATCGCGTGCGATGGGTGGATTTACCAAACACCATGATTTTCTTGTTGTTACGCACTTTTGTTTTATATAATTGGATTAATTTATTATATGCAAATGAAGTCATCATTTCCTTAGTGTGGGGGCCATAGCGTACATACAGCACGCTAGCCTATATTTAAGAAAAATGCACAGGAATGTATAAAACGCGTACACAATACCACCCCATGAGTGCCGATAATTGCAACATAATTGACCTTCCAGGAATGGAAATATCACTAGTAATAATTTATATGGCGCTTGTAGATGTTTCTCGATCGATTTTCTAAATAAGTTGATACAGCACGATAACACAAACGAACCGCTATCAATATAATATCAAACGCATCATATCTACGTTAGATTATCTGTACTTTAACGAAGTAATACCGCAAATTAGGCGAGTAGTGTTTTTATGCAGCCCCATCGCAGGCCCGTAGCCAGCCCTTTTGAATAGGGGGTTCGAAAACAACAATAAATGATACATTTGATGTGAAACGTGTGAATTTTATAATATTCAAAAAGTGTGTTTGAGCTCTGTTACATACATTTTTATATTCTCGGTTTTAAATTCAATTGGTTTACTTTGTGTTACGTTGGTAAGTTATTCCACATAACATTTTTGAACTATTTTACCATTTTAGAGAAGGGGTCATAGACCATTCCCAACACGCAGACAAACATACCCACACCCTTGATCCATTACGGCAAAATGTTGTACAAAAAAAAGAGACAAGACTGTACGTATCTTAGCAGTATTGTCCAAGCATTT